AAAGAGTATTTCTGAAGACCTAATATCATAGTGGTAAGACCTGCAGAACGCTGCACCATTATCACTATAATTCTATCCCTACCAGACATTTTAAAGTTTTCAATGTTTAAGTAATATGAAATGTTTACTAACTTTGGTTCAGTTCGGCACTCCAACTGTTCACACATTATTTTCTTCAGAAAGACCTGAACACACTACAGCAGCACTACAGGGGTAATAAGGGAATCCTCTTAGGGTTGCTGCAGCTAATCTTCATAAGATCTCTTCAGATCATACTTTGAGTCTGTGATCTACTCTGGTTGTAAACGTCTCATCATTTGAAAGCTGTCGACAGAACGAGGGATCAGAGATCTTCTACCTCTCATCCAGGAAGATGCTGAACCGTAATGACCATCAGCAAAGGCAGAAACATGGAACCAATGAGGAGTCGTGAACCTCTGATCCTACAAGTGTCCTTCTAATGTTGGAAATCTGTCGATTAACAGCTTCTGATGAAAAGTATTTATCTTTTTCCTTTCCTCAAGGTGGAGTTAACACTGAATATGTGCCTTTGCTTTAAAACACAATACATACTAACTAAACTTGGTAAGTATTAGTAAAGTATTACTTTATGTCACTTTATGAATGACAAAGTTGGCTGCTAAAACTAAATTAGGCAATAAAAAACTATTTGGATAACAATCCCATAAACCATTTTAGCAGCGGAATAAACTCTGTTTATGACTGCGAGGAAAAAAAAAAATTAGTTTGACCTTTTAAATTTACAAACCACCTTTTATTTTTACCTTCTAGATTTTAGCTAGAATAAAAAAGACATTCAGTCATATAAAAAGGAAACAAAAAATATTTTAACAAAATTACCAGTTATTAAAATTTTTAAGAGCTAATGAGAAATAAAAATAATTTTAAATAGTGTGTAAACTACAAGAAAATATAGCATGGAAACATTAAAATATGCCCAAACAAGCTTTTTAAATTGTTGTATTTCAAACACTTGAGATAAGCAGAATTTTAATTCCTTTAACATAAAATTTGTAGTTTTGGAGCCGTTAATCGAAACGATTTTCTTGTTAAACTGAGAGGGGAAAAAAACTCATATTTACTCATATTTAAATATCTGCAGATCCTGAGACTTTTCCAATACCGGAGCTCTGTTTGCTTTAGTGTTTTTTTATTTAAGAGGCTGTTATAATTATTTAATTTCCCATTGGCATAAGTAAAAAAAATTATGAACTGAATTAGCTCCTTTCTACAAGCAAGCATAATAGTAACAGGAGTATCTCAAAAGGGAGTCATAAAACCAGAAAATTATGTCTCCATTCTGGGAACCGATATGTAACTCTATATCTAATAAATCAAAGACTGATTCCTATAAAGGGGAAAACTTTCCTAAAGTTTAGGATTTTTTACCCTAAATTGAATTCATTATAGAAACAGAATGAATAGATCTGCCGCTATGGATCAAGTCCACTTTCAATGATACTCAATCTGGAATTTCCTTCAATATCAGGACCAATGCTGATATTGCTTTGGGATCTGTGCATCTCTAACATTAACTGAATTATGCAAACAGAAATGAAACAGCAGCTAAAACAGATTTTAAATTATAAGAAATTATTTCACAGAACATTGAGACGAGCCACCAAAGCAATAGATCACTAAACACGATAGAATCAGCCTTCTGACACACAGTGGGGGGGTAAAGAAGAAAGAGAGCCGACGTTGGTCCTACCGTATTGTCCGTAGATTGGAAAGGAGCCTTTAGGTGCAGCAGAAGAAGAAAGTCAGGAGGAAAATAAAGACAGAGCAGAAGGAGAGAGAACAGCCAGTGTTATTAGTTGACTGAGTTATAGACAGGAATCAAAGAGGAGGGAGGGACGGACAAAGAGAGGTTAGATCCTTCCAGAAACACTCAGACTGTATCAGGAAAAGAAGAGCTTTGTCCAAACTACAGACGGCGTCGCCTACCGTAGGAGTCCAGCCGTTTGTCCATGTAGACCTTGTAGGTAAAGGCGTGGCGCAGCGCCACAGCAGCGAAGAACATCTCGATGCAGATGATGAAGTTCTGGTATCCGGCCGCCACCGTTCCTTCTCCCACTGAGAAATCGGCAGAGTTGATCTGAGGAATGGCGCCGCATTTCTCCAGGATGGCCAGAAGCATCCCTGCATCAAATCATCATCCGACAGAGGCCAGTTAGTTTCAGTTGGGATTTAAAAAAGCCTGATCTCATTGCTTAACACACATTGTCCTAGGAATACATGCTGTCAGTTTGGACTTCTTTGAATTACCTTTTTTAATGCTTTTTTCATCCAGTGTTTCTGAGTATTTATACAAAATTAAACTGCTTCAGTCATTAACTACCGTACTGACCAGAATATAGGGTGACCCTGATTATAAGACGACCCCCTCTTACCAAGACCAGTTTTTAGGATTTCGTTTGTTTGAAGAAGACTATTTTATTTTGAAGTGCTAAGAATTTCATTGAAATAATATTGCATTGAAAGATTTGTGCATTTAAACAATAAAAAGTAAAAAGAAAAAAAAACACAGTAATAACATTTAGTTGAAATCTTGGAACACTTCAACTGAAATGTAATCTGAACCTCTCACCCTAAACTTTGCAATTTTTTCATAGCTTTTCTTTAGCTGTTCGCATCTTTCTTGTCTTTTTAAACGTGTCATTGCACTCTGTAACTTTGAATTTCTCTGCTGCCTGACTGTTGTTTGATGCCTTCGCTGCGTTGACCACCATTATTTTAAAATTGCTGTCGTAACTCAGCCTCAAACATCTTTAAACTTGTCTGACTTTTGATCCACTCCGTTCTGGGCAGCGACTCTCCATTTGTAGCATCTTTGTCACTTCTCTGTTGTGACAGAAAGATGACCCCAGCCAATGTGAGGTCACCGGCTTTACTAAAAACTGGCAACCTCTCCTGTTGTGTTCGTGTAGCGAACCCCAGACAACTGTCACACAGGGATTTTCTCTCATCAGTTTAGCTTCAAAATTACTGATATAGTCCAAATATTTTAATGAAGGCTCCATGAGGCCTCAGTCTAATGAGACTAAAACACTGATAACTGTGAAGGGCTGAACCATTCAACAATAGGAGGCCAAAGAATTGGCTAAATACATTAAGATGTTCATGAACAACCAAGGAATCACTGAGATTCACCAGCTATGGACTGAAGAGCGAGGGATTCCCTAGAATTGGACGCCTATTAACCGAGAGGGAAAGATTTGGAAACTAAATGGAAGCTTTAAAGTTTGTTACTGCATACATGAATAAACCGACAGCCTTCAAAAGAATCGTTTTAGGATCAGACAAAAAAATAAAAATAAAAGACTGAACAATTTGGCTGACATGAAAAGAAGCATGTTTAGAGAGGTGAAAGTGAGGCTTTCAAACCACAAAGCACTAAACCAGCAGTTAAACAGGTGGTGGCAGAATCATGCTGGGGTACTAGAGAACAAACTGACAAAACTAGTTAATCTAACAGGACAATGAACCCAAACAGGCCTTTAAGTTTGTATGGCATGGATAAAGTGGGCTAACATTAAGCCCTGAACTTAATCGTAAAATCACAACTAAAGATAAAACAAATCTTACTTGCACGTTTTTTTTTTTATCATGCAATTTTTCCACCCTAAATAAAACAAAAAATATATTGCAGCTTTAAAAAAAAAAAAACAATAAAAAAATGAATTAATTTAAATCCAATCAATACAAAAGACGAGTTGTAAAAACTTTTGATTATATTTGAATCCTTTTAAACACATAATTCATGAATGATTAAAATCCTGATGAACATTTCTGATGTTGGCCAAACAAAGAACTCTTTATGTATTTACCTTCATTTACCTACATTGAAACTCTTTAACTAATGCAATCATTTAACTTTATTATTGGTGTCTCAGGCCTATTGTATTTTTTATTAACAGAACACCTTTAAAGTCCTTTTCTGTTTCAGTTTATTTGAAGGAACATAAATTAAGAATCAAACCAATCAGAACTCAGTGACACAAGGAACTTAAAACTTGCAAAAAGTAAACTTGCAAATTGATAAACATTTAATGAAATTGTTATTATTAGATAGAAATTTAATAGAAAGATTTGGATCAATATCCATTTTGCTGCCATTACAAATTTTTATCAATATTATATAGGCTATATATACAATTTTCCTTTTCCTTTTCTGTCATAGAGGTTAAACAAGCTAACAGGGTTTAGCGTTCTCACCCTGCCAGAAGGAGAGGAAGATGACAGACTTCACCATGAAGAACTTGAGCACGGGGTTGTAAGGGACCAGCAGCTCACGCGTGGCAAAGTAAAAGAGGAAGAGCGCGTAGAGCGACAAACTGACAGAGATGTTATAGATGATGGTGACATACAGATAGCCGCTGGCCACACTGGAGAGGACAGAGAAAATAAGGTTTAGTAACCATTAGGAAATAAACACAGGGATAACCAGTAGTGGACTTGGTTAAAGGGATGAAGGATAAAATATTTGATTCAATTTAATTCAGTTTATTTCTATTGCGCCAATTCACAACACGTCATCTTAAGGTACTTTAAAGTTTAACCAGATCATCCAGTAGAACTGATTAAAAGTTTTCTATCTAAGGAAAACCAGTTGATTGCATCAACTCATTGACTTGAAGGCAACCCCACAAACCAAGCATGGTTGTAGTGACAGTGAAGAGAAAAAAACTTCCTTATAATATAATTTTATCCAAACATTCTGATGTTGAGAAATTTTTGTGTACAGAAAACATTGCGGTTAGACTCTTACTTAAAGTCTCCATCTTTGTATTTCCCAAAGGCCTGAAGGATGACGGTGATGACCGCCATCAGAGGTTTAACCACACAGAACTGGAGCGTGGCCTGAGGACACAGAAGATGATGGTTTAGAGAAGGCTACTGCAAGAATGTTATTACATACATTATGATAGATGAAAGCCAGCTAGGGATTGGATGGCCAACTTCTAAATGCACCCCATGGGACATTTAATTAAAAAAATTCCCCCATCCCTGTTTTATTGTAGTAGGACCTATAAACATATGTGGCTATACTGAGATTAAATTACTGTTGCTGTCACTGTCGAATACGAATACTTACTTACAAATCTGTTTTAAAAGTATTTAAAAAATAATTATATCATCAAATAAAAACAGATTTTTATCAGTGAGTGCAGTGAAATGAGCACAGGTGAACGATTTGACTTGTAAACGACTTCATCGCTCTTTTTCCAGTCAGTCAGGCAGTTGGTTTAAAGTCAGAGGAAGCAAAAGAAGGGTTAGCAACATTTTAAAGGGAAAATTATTCAGTAAATTCAGCCGTGCATTCAGGCTGCTACAACAGAGCTAATCTTCGTGCGCTAAATAAAAATTGGTAAGAAGCAGCAACCTGACCTGGACCCGTCTAGAAAAGATCCTAGGGAAGGTAAATAACCAGCTTAAGCATATAATATAGATTAATTTGAATGATAATAATGTTTGCTGACATCAGAATATCCAAAACGATTTAATATTAAATTAATTCAATAAGAAAGTCTACAATCAAAATGATCTGATATTATCAAACACAATCATATCAGCGCACAGAAATGTAGTTTATTAAAAACAATCAAAATGGATCAGCTGTTCACAATCTGACACAGCATGGCTGAAGCTACCAAATCCAAAAGATGAGAACACAGATCAATAATGCGATTTGCATGAATGTAATTAAAATCTTTATATCAATATGGATCGACGTGTTGCTACACGCTGAGAAAGTTCAGGAAGGCTGAACATCTAGAGGTGTTTTCTTTCTCTCTTTTAAACTTTAAACCTACAGTACAGCTGTTATGGAAGCTGCTGAACTTGATCTGACGTCTAAATAAAAAGAAAGAGTTCCTTTCCTTTGGGAACAAGTTGTTACTTTTCAGGTCCAAAATTAGTCTAAAGTCCTTAAAGACTAACAGGTCCAAGTCATTAAAACGTCTTCCCTGAAACATTAATGATGATAAATATTTTATGTTCTTACTGTCGGTATTTTGGTTGGTAAACTTTGACTTTAGTGTATGAATTAAGTAATTTCGAGTAAAGAGTCTTAAGTCCAGGTTAACAGACAAGTTATTAATATTTAATTGAAAACAAAGTCGTAACCCTCTTCTAATAGGACAGAATCTCCTTTGCTATTTAAAACTAATAAAATAATCCTCATGGCAGAAGGGCTAGAAAAACATTTCTTATTCCATTAATTATGTCTCTGTAGGAGGAACTGGGAGTGTTCATCTTTTAAATAAACAATGAGTCAAATCTTTTTTTAAACAGTACAATAATCAGATTGTCACAGAACTGAAGGTAAATGCATGCAGCAGGAAAAAGCAGGAGGATTTATACCTGTTTGCAAAACCTGAGGAAACCGATGGAGTAGGCCTTCCCCCACAGACAGCAGGTTCCATACATGCAGCTGGATCTACAGGAAGGCAACACAGGCGCAGCGAACATTTCTTAAGAATCTGGGTCATCGCCATGGAAAATAAGTGAAGCCGATAGTAAAGATTAAAACTGCAGCTCAGCTGGCAGCCTGGGAAACTTACTCGATGGGTTTTCCTCGGATTTCAGCCATAATGGCGCTTTCTCCGCCCAGATATTCATAACACAAACTAAGAAAGTTGTAGATGACAAAAGCTGAAAAGGGAACAAATACAGGAAAAAAGGTTTAGCTTTTATTAAGCACAAAAAAAAAACAATTATTCGTAACTTCACTGAATTCTCTGGAAAATAAAGCAAAGCTTCATCTTAAAACAACGACACATCTAAAACAAATTACACTGTTTTATATGAATAGATAAAATAATTCCTAAAAACACTCAGACGTTAGGCAGCTATAACAGAAGCATTACTCAGTTGTGAGATCTTCACAGCGCCTGACACGTGTCTCCTAATTACAGCTCTGTTTTGCTGATTCTGCCAGATTCAGGCAGAGAAATGAATCACAGCCATCTGCTGGTTAATACTAAAACACCGGGCTCCAACGTGGCGGTGGATCAGCAGGGTGAGAGGGAACCTCTGGGAACACATTCGAGGAAAACAAACTCCTGGAACAGCTTCTGTTCGTGGAACGCTGCCACTAATAGAGATACAAGCCTGATGTCATGGTTGGGTCTGTTAAGACGCCATATTGTTCTCCTGCTTAGTCCCAGTGGTCTTTTGCAGGCATGGATTTTAACATCAACATCAAATTGTTAGGCTAGAACCACAAATAATGATGTAACTACCACTTTTTTTTTAAGTGAGGATCAGATTGATATGCAGGCTTTATGTCGTTTTATCAAATAAGAATCAAAAATGTCTGTGGTTATACTGTGAGAAAATGCTTAAAGGGTGTGAATAATTTTGAAAACTTCCAAGATTTGAACAAATCAAAGACCAAGGAGTGAGAATCTAGACATATTTAAGACCTAAAATTAAGATGAGAAAGCAGCTTTTTAACGACGTCTTTAAAAATCTGCAAAGAAATGGAAGTATTAATCAATTCATTGAGTTAGCAGACGGTTTCATCTGCTGCCCCACAGATGCCAGCTCCACTCTGCCTGCACTCTGCATTTTATTTTAGTGTCTAAGGTGGCTGAGTTTGAATCTGCAGCCAGAGCTCAGTCAGCAGCACAGTGCTGGCTTTGTTAGAGTTGCATAATCACAGATGCTGTGTTTTTCCCTCTAAAATGAACTTGCGCCTTGTCGCTTGACAGGGCCAAGCATTCCATGAAAGGAAAACATTGTTCATGGAAACCTCTAGGAGAAAACAAACAAGAATAATTATTTCAATAGAGCATAAAGCAGCAAATAGTCATTTGTTTGCATTATTACAAGGTTGTAAATACATTTTAAATGCTTCACTGTGCACATAAAAAAGTAAGCTGTTACGTTTCTTTTATTGGAATCAGATTTTTTGGTATTTCCAGATATATGAAGTAAAGATTTGATCTCCATTTCTTCTTAGTGTTTGCACGTTTTCCTTTCAGCTGACCTGGTCCTGTTTTTGGTTTGAAAATGTTCTGACTCTGAA